AATGCCATCATGCAAACGTTCTTAGTTAAAGCAGCATCTTTGCCTGTGCGTGGATGATGAAAAGCAGTCGGCGCCTCTGAATGTATATGAGGCAGGAGAGTCCTAATGGCTAGTCTTCACCTCACCTCTCCTCATACCACCCTCTCTCTCCTACCCACCAGATAACTGCAGAGCACAACTTCTGAAGCAGTAGCCTGATAATCTGCCCTTCACCTAGACTTAGGCAAAAGGTCAAAATAAGTGGGAAGGAGGAAAATATACACTGACTCTAAGAGGAGAACCAAGTTTTGTGGCATTATGAATTTGAATTACCCAATTGTAAGGACACTTTTCTAGATAAGTCAGTAAGTGTTAGGGAAAGAAAAACTTTTGTGACCTTTGTAAGTGTAAATTGAATCAGTTATTTACTCTTTTAAATAGAATTTAAATTACATCTATATTTTTGTTTGTTTGTTTGTTTTCCAAGCTTGCTGTAAATCAGAACAGAGAACTTGCCAAAAACCTACCCCTTTCCTACCGGGCTGTATTCAGGATTAGCAGAGTGAAGAGTAATCTTAGGTGACTGCCATCAGAGTGTCAATCTAGGAAAGTTGGCTGGCTTCTAAAAATTTATATCAACTAGACTGTTTATTTATATCCACTAGACTGTTGACAATTGTGATAAATTCAATACACTAAAAATATTTGCTTGTTTCTAACTGTGCACTATTAATCATTTGACATTTCAATACTATCCTCTCCTCTCTTCCACTCGCAGCATTTCACCCTAATCCCATTATCTGCTTTATTTTTACCCTTAATAGTGAACACCATCTAGCATACTTACCTTTCATTTTTGTATTTGATTGCCTAGGTCTTTCCCACTAGAACGTGAGCTCAACACTGCAGGAATTATTTTTATCTTACTGTTTACTGCTATAACCCCAGGGCTCAGAAACGTGCTTGGGATATATGAGGCACTCAGGTATTTGTTGAATGAATGAATAAATAAATGAATCATATTACAATGATTAGAATATATTTGTTTTACATTTCGCAGCACCACAAAGGAGGAAAAACAGACGGCGAATATTTTGTCAGCTAACGCATCACCTCACCGAAAACCACAAGATATGGAAGATCATAGAAGAAAAAGAAAAATGTAAAACTGATGGGAATAAACTGCAGGTGGAAAATTCTTCCTTACCTCAGGAGGATGAGATTCAGGTCATTGAAGAAGCCGATGAAGAGGAAGAGAGACAATGGGAAGAGAGGACAGGATGGGCTGGGGAAGCCCCAGGGTGGTGCTCAGCGTCAGAAACCCTGACCTGGGGTTCACCGCCTAACGTTCAGCTGACCAGTCCTATGTGGCAGGGCCTTAATGCTGGAAGAGGATCCTCGCTGTGCTGGCCTTTGCCCTCCTACTGTGCACTTCCACCACATGGACTCGAAGATTATTTGTAGAGCTCGACTTCAGTTGACTCACGTTGAAAAGCCCTCACTGCCATCACTGGTGTATGCATATTTTGTCACGATACCCCTTTCCTGGGTAGTAAGTTTTCAGGAGGGGTAGCCACAGCTGAAAGCTCAAGTGACTGACTTCCATGTCCAGAGTGGCCAGAACTTTTTGTTGTTATGAAATAGATTTCTATTGTATATTTCCAAATGTGTCTTTTGTCTTTGAATGTCTTTGGGGGAGGAAAAATAAAGTCTGTGCCTATCTCAAAAGGAATCCAGCGTTGCCTTTCTGAGGGATCTTTTCAATGCAGTACACTGTTGAGTGCTGTCCTCCTAGGCAGGTTTATCTATGAAGGACTGAGTGACCTGCTTAACAAAATCCAGGTGCATCAGTTTCTGATGCTTTTTACTGTTGTGTATTATCTACTATGTTGTGTTTGATTTCTTTTCAGAGTATTCAGGTTTGTAATGATTATCAGAAGTCTGAATTCCAGCCTTACTGACTTTGTATTTTATGGTTGAATTTTAAACTATTTGGGTTTAATGATGAAGGGTTTCATTCTTTAGTCAAAACTTCTTATTTTTACTCTTGCTCAGGATTAATATTTTTAACCTTAGTTTAATACCAACACAGCATAGATTTGTCAGAAGAAAAAATTTTATCCAAATATTGATGTTGACTTCTTAAGAAATGAACATTATTTTCTCTCTTCCTAGATAGATTTGGGATTCATTAAAACCAAAGGAAAGGAGATATCTGTCTTTTGCCTTAACACAAAATCAAATAAAACTAATCCTATTAAGATAAAGAACAAAAAAAAATAATGTGAGCTCTAAAGGATACATACATTGAATAAATAATTGGAATGTGTGCTTATCTTTAGATCCTTATCTTAGTTCTCATAGGTAAAGTTACAGTAAAACTGATGTTCATCAATCTATTAATTACCTTCTGTCTCAAGCTGCATGACAGAAATGACCTATGACTACTTTTAGGGCCCGTCTGCAAATCTAATTTCTAAGGCCAAGTAAATAGTGAGAATACTTAATAAATTTTACATAACAAATCTAAATATTTTAGTAAATCATTTCACCCAAAAGCACCTTACTAAATAAACACATCAAGGTAATGCAAAGAAAGTTGATCATATTTACAATGTCTTTAGGGTTCAGATATGTAACCTACTTACAAAAAATATTTGAACTATAAAGAACAGCTAAAATTGAAAATGGTAGACTGATATTTTCCATTATTGTTGAAATATATTATTTATTATATCTTATATTTTGGATTTGTGCAGCTTTTGTAGACAGTGAAATACATTTTCAAAGTTACTCCATTAAAGTATGATGTCAGCAGGTACTTTACTTGTCAGCAATTTCTTACCTACCTAGAGTATTTGGCTCATCTGAAACATATCAATGAAAGATCTATTCAAGTATTAGAAGTTTTGATCCTGTATAGCTTCATAATGTTTAATGAATCACCAAGTTTTATTTATTAGGCAATGTTAAATGCTGATTTCCTTCCTGCTGCTTTTGCTACTATTGCCACATCATTTGTAAACTGGTCCCACATTACTAATACAATTTTAACTAATTTATTTAGTTTGCACTAGTAATGTGTACATCCTGTGCTTCTATTTCTCTAGGTCACAATTTGCATCTTGTATAAGTACTCAGCTATTGCTTTCTCTCCTGCAAAATACAAACAGGTGTAGGTATATAAATTCACATATGTATGTGTATGCATCAAATTTCCATACTTTTATTTAAGTTTTGTATTGGGGTTATTTTGTGTATATTTCCTCAAAAGGAGCATGCTTTAATTCCATTAAAGATACTATTACTGAGAACTCATTTTAAAATAACCCTTCAATTATTTAAGCTTTACCAAATAATTGACATCCAGTAAAATATCCCAAACACTCAAGTATCCTTGCTGAAACTTAAATTCATAAATTGTAAGAAAGGAGCATGAGGACACATTAAGTATATATAAATGCTATTAGATGGAATTTTATGCACACTGCTGTAAACCATACTGCAGATTCTGTTTTTGGTTATTACTGAGTAGTATTTTATGATAATTTTTGTCATGAATTTGCTGTTTTAAGTCATTACCCTTAAATATATTGTAGGACTAAAAGATTACTTCTGCCATTGGTTAGCCAGAAATTTACCCTCTTTCTAGATTGCATCCATTCATAGATGCATCATCTTATACAAACTTCACACAAACAAATGGACAGTGCTCACTCTGGTTTCTTTAGTTTCTAGACTAATCTAATTGGCTCTAGAGGGTGTATGAGAGAACAATTGGCATGTAGAGCAAGGATGAACAGCTTTTTAGAGGCAGGTGACTTTTATGCTGAGAACTGAAGGATTATGAAGTACCTCAGAGATGACTGTCTGGTGAGGGAGAAGATCAGTATGTGTAGAGAACAGGGGAAGAGATAGATGCCACAGTCTCCACAGTGAAGGAGCCAAATAATATTAACAGTGACTGGAACAGAGAACAGGAGGAAGTGGTAGAGAATGGTGGTGAATGAAGGACTTATAAAGCATCACATGGGCCTCCCTAGTGGTGCAGGTGGTTGAGCACAGCCCTGTGAAGCTGTCTGCAGCCTCTGCAGTGCAGGTTCTATCCCTGGCCAGGGAGCTACCCACATGGAGCAGCAGATCTCTCCTGTCTCGCCCGCTGCTCCCCTCAGCAGTGTATTTCAGTCAGTCTGCCTGTTCTGCTCCCTGCTCTGTCTCTTGTGAATCCTCTCACCCTGCCATATATCTGGCCTCTACCCCAGTTCTTGTATGCATGAATAAATAAATCTTTACAAGAAAGCATCACATGCCACTTAAATTTTTATTCCTAAAGGAAATGGGGAACAATTGAAAGAATTTTAATCCAGAAGTGATGTTCAGATTTTATGATGATCATACAAATAACATACTATGGTGCTCACTTTAGGTAGCACAAATTGGAATGATGCAGAGAGGTAAGTATGTCCCCTGCATAATGAGGACAGGCAAATTCATAAAGCATTCTATCTCTTCTGGATGGAAATGGAGATTATGCTAAGCAAAATAGATCAAAATGAGAAAGACAAATACTGGATGATTTTACTCATGTGGCAAGAAAGAAATATAAGCAAAGAACATAAACAGACAAAAATAATCCATAACAAATCCTTGAACTCTGACTGCAGAACTAAGGCTGCCAGAAAGGGAGGGAATGTCAGTGGACTATGGTAGAGGATTACTGGTGCCTTGATGGTGGGTGTGGTGTGATAATGTGTTGCAGAGGTGTGACCCCGTGCTGTAAAACATACACAGTACTGTAAACCAATAGTATCTCAACAATTTTTAAAAAGTAGTATGTTAAATGGAAGATTAGGCATAGTAAGACCTCAGTGCAAATAGTTAATGACATACTCACTGGTAGGTCTGTTTCACTATCTTATGTCACCGTGATATCACCATGTGACCCATCTGACTTTTCTAAGATTTTCTAAATGCTTTCTAAAATTTTCAAGCAAATACAGGTATCTGATAACCCATATGTTGGAGTGTGGGTGCATTCATACATGAGAAGCAAATGCAGTCGGTGTCAAACAATGATTTAATGTTTTATGGGATAGACATGTTAACAGAACAATCCATTTCTGACTGTCTCCTGCAGGCAGAGAAAGAGAATTCAGATGCCTCCATGCCCCAGCACAGGCAGAGCAGGTCCCCTGGAGGCCCCCCCTGCAGTGGGGAGCCAGTCTGTCCATCAGCAGCTGCCTCCTTGCACCACCAATGACCTGCATGGAAGAGTCAATAAAGCCCAAGCACAGTTACCTGTTTAGGAAGCTCTTTTGCCAACGAAATCCCCCGGTGAGTGCTGCACAGACCTGATTTTACAAGGCTCAGAAGGAAACCAGAAGGCCCTAGGAGCCGCCACTAGCTGGTGGGTGAGTGATTCTCCAACTTGGAATTTCAGTTTTAAAAGGGGCCTGATCCAGGGGGACTTGCTACCGTGGATGTCAGTCAATGACAATGCCACTCAGATGGAAGAGGTCCTGCATTCTCTACGCCATCCCTGTGCCCAGGGGTCAACAGCAGGGCTCTCCCAGCAAGGGAGCGGGGTGGCCCTCACATGACAGAGCCTAAGATGGGGAAGCAAGGCCCCAGGTTCCCCACCTCTGGCCCTGTGGCCTTTGGAGGCTCTGCCCACACAGCCCCACATCCCTCCCGGGGCCCTGCACCTGCTCAGCTCTCCCCAAACCCTCCACGCCCCCCCCTTCACCCGCTTTGCTCCCCTCCAGGTGCTTCACCAGCTCCGTTGCTCCCCTGGCCCTTCACCTGCTCTGCTCCAGGGACATCTGTGTTCCAGGGCCATCGGTGCTGCCCAGACTTCTGTGCTGCAGTCCTGTGCGTCTCATGCTGGGCCTCTGACTGGGCCCAGCCCCTGAGCCCTCTCCAGAGCCTTGCCCCTCCCCTGGTATGCTCCTGTTCACCATGGCCACTGGGCGGCTGAGCTTTGGGGTGGAGGGGAGGGAGTTTCTGCTGGGTGTGGCAGTAGATGTTCTTTGTCTTGTTGTGGGGTCCGAATGGTGGGCAGCAGCAGCAAAATCTCCAGATGGAATTTAGGATCCTCCTGGCTCTGGCCCTCCCACCTTGTCTGCCTTTTTTTTTTTCCTGGCTGGTTCCTCCTAATGGGGCCAGTGCATTGTTATGGTGCTGGAGGTGCCAGCTACCTCTTGGGGGAGGTCTTAGGGTGGTGCTGGAGGGCTGGGGGGCTGGACTGATGGTGTTGGTCCTGATTCCTCCTCCGCCTCTGGCTGGGGGCCTGGCATGGAGGTGACGCTGTACTCCCAGGCGTCCTCCAGACTGGGGCCTAGCGAGGAGGGTCTGCTGTTCTCCAGGGCGCCCTCCAGCAGGGGGCCTGGCACTGGAGTGCTGCTCTGCCGCGGGGGGTCGTCCAGCAGGGGACCTGGCACGCAGGTGGTGCTGTTTCCCTGGGAATCCTCTGGCAGGAGGCCTGGCCCGAAGGTGGTGGTGTGCTCCTGGGCGAAACCCGGTGATGCCTTTGCTTACTCCCCGAAGACTCAGGCTGCCGGGGACACTCTCCTCCGCACCCCGGTCACCACGGGGCACATCGTGAGGGAAGGGCTCGCAGATGGCACCGCGCCCGGCCGCGCCCCCTCAGGGGCCTCCTCTTCCTCGTTCCTGGAGCGGAGGATCAGGGGTGTCCCCAGGACAGCGTCGTCTATTCTCCATTCAGTGACCCCGCAAATGTCCTCCGTCTGGTACCCACGGCGTCCCGGGGTTCTCATTGTGGCCGGGTCCCGGAGGCGGAGGGACGGCTCCCCGGAGGGCAGGAGGCCCTCCCTGGCTCACGTCCCCCCAGCGGTGCTGCCGGAGGCTCTCGGGGGGCCGCGTCTCCGGGGCTCCAGCGCCAGCGTTTTGTCCAGCAGGTCCCGGCCCTGGACCGAGAGGTAGACGGGCCGGACAGGAACCCGCCCGGGACGCGCTCCCTGAGCTCCCCGACGCGGGTGCCCCTCAGGGGCAGTGTCCCGGCGACCACTGGATAAGGGGGCGACGCCCGGGCTCCCCACGTCCACCTGGGGCCAAGGTTCCGCGCGTGGGGGAAGAGCTCGGGCCCCGCGCTCCGCGCGGCCGGCCGCAGCAGCTGCCCAGGCGTCGCTGAAGCCCGGGACGCGGAGCCCGACGTCCGCCCGCTTTATGTGCCGCGCTGGACCCCGCAGAATGTCCTCGGGCTTCACATCCCGGTGGGCGATGCCTTTGGCAGGGCCGGGAGGATCTGCCTGAGTATCTGGCGGGCCTCGCTCTCGGGGAGGCGCCCCCGCTGGCTCAGGGAGGCCCGCAGGTCGCCCCTCCGCGCACTCCTTGGCGAGCTGCAGCTCCTCCCCGTGGGTGTCCAGGCCCTGCAAGAGCTCGACGCTGTCCAGGCACCCGCCTCACGGGCCGAGGTCGTGCAGCTCGGCCTTGCGGATGGCTTCGATCGCCACCTGCGTGGCCCTGAGCGCTGCAGCGCCAGCCCCACCTGGGCGTGGGCGCCCTCCCGCAGCGTTGCGAGCGCCAGGTAGGTTTTTACTTTACAATCCCGGGGGGTGAGGCGCTAAAGCAGAGCGAGTGTGGACTGGGACTGTGCTGACCACACTCACAGCCCTGACGATGCTCACAGCCCTTGCTACCTTGCTGACAACTACCTCTCCTGCGGTATTAACAAATGTACTATTAATCTAAGATTAATAGTACTCCAAAAGTACTCACTAAGCTCACTAACTACTAACAGTGCTAACTTAACTCTACCAGCAATACTGACTTCACTACTTTACAAGCAATACTAATACGAACTACACAAAGAATGAATGAAAACACACCAACAAAAATATTACAAATGAGCTAAAAATGTAAAAACATGACAAAAACAAACCAATTACAAATTAACCACTAAATTTAAGAATAAAACATGGAGCAACCACAAAGACAAATAGAACAAACAACAGGAGAACAAACAATTAGAAGCTAAAAACTAAAACAAAAAAACAGACAAACAACAAAGGGGAAAAAAGAACAAACAACGAAATCACAACAGAAGGGAAAATGGGGGAGTGCACACAAAAAAGAAAAATCAAAAAACTAAAAACTGAAATAAAAAAAATTAAAATAAAGAAAAAACAAAAAGCAAAAAATAAGCATATAATAAAACAATAAAGGAAAATAAAAAACAAAGAAATAAAAAGAAAAATATATAAGCAAATAAAAAAATAAAGGAAAATAAGAAAAAAACAAAAATAAAAATAAGATAACTAAAATAAATAGCTAAAACAAATAACTAAATAAGAAAAAAAATAAATAAACCAAAAGAAAACCAAATACACCGAAACACGCTCCTCTCCCTCTCTCCCTCCGCACACCCCCCACCCCCCCCACCCCCCGTCGAAGTCCAAAGGTCACTATTCCAAAGCTTCCTGGCTCCTAAGGACACAGCTGCAGTCAGGGCAGCCCTGCCAGTGCCATCAAGTGGCTCTTTATGAAGTCAGAGTCAGAGGCCACAGCCATTGGCAGAGGGAGACCCTAGTGGTTTTTCAGCCTTAAAGAAAAAGCTACTGCCAAGAGATGTGTTTATAGGATTTACTAGAGTTTGAAAATACCTAGGATAGACTGTAAAGCAACAGGAAAGAGAATGGACTCAATAGTTAAGAGTTAGAATCAATTTGTACTGGAGAATAATTGGGTATGGTGGTGAGAAAGAAGTGATGGTGACTTTCAGATTTTTGACTTATACTGGCAGTATCATTCACTGAGATAGACTGTTGCAGAGAAGTAGATTTTGTATGTGGATGGAGAGTGAGGGGTGTATATATATCTCACCTTAAATACTATTGCTCCTCTCTCTGAAGGACCCTGACTAATAAAAAAAGCACCAAATACAAGGAACAATCGTGAGAATAGCAGAAATATATAGATGCTGCACTGCATTTTCAAAAACAGTATAACTAGGTATGAAATATTTAAGGAAATATGGAGTGGTAAAAAATGAGCAAGCAGTAAGAAATAATAAAACATCACCCGGAAGGAATGACTAGAAGACTGATAAACTTATTATCAACAACGGAAGCCAGAAGATTCTACATTATCTTTTAAGTTCTGAGAGGAAAAAACTGTCTACACACAGTTAATCAGGACAACTACAGAAAATGAGGGTAAAGTACATTTTTAGGTAAACAGTGAGCTTTTCCCATCAGTAAATTTATCTTAACGGAATTGTTAATGCAGTGCTTCTAAAGTTTGCTATATTGTACATATGAATAATTTGGTGATCTGGTTAAAATGCATATTGTGTTTACTAAGTCTTGAGTAGGTTGCAAGAGTTGGGTTTTTAAAAAGTAGGTCCCCTTAAGGGTGAGAATTCCTTAAAAGCTCTCGGGTAGTATAATAGTGATACTGATCTGTTAACCATTCTTAAAAATATTAACAGAGGGCCTCCCCGGTGGCGCAGCGGTTGAGCGTTGGATTGCGAAGCTGCCCGCGGCCTCTGCGGTGCCGGTTCGATCCCCGGCTGCTCCCCGGCCACCAGAGGAGGGTCCCACATGGCGCGCAGACCTCTCCTGCCGCCCGCTGCTCCCCTCAGCAGTGTACTTCGGTCCTTCTGCCTGCTCTTCTCCCCGCTCTGGCTCTGGTGAATTCTCTCACCCTCCCGCGCTTCTGACTGTACCCAGTGCATGTATAAACAAAACAAACAAATAAATAAATAAATAAATAAATAAATAAATAAATAAAGCATGCCTCTATTAAAAAAAAAATATTAACAGAAAAAAAATATTAACAGAGTAATTAAGCTACTTAAGGGTCTTGTGTCATTTAGGAAAAATATTATGATACTGACATTTGTAAAAATAAATATGAAAATAAATATGATTTTAAAAAGGGCAGGGAATCTGAACAGACATTTTTTCCCAAGGCATGTAGATGGTTAATAGGTACATGAAAAGGTGCTCAGCGTGACTAATCAACTGGGAATTAACCACAATGAGATATCATTTCACACGTGTTAGAATCTATTATCAAAAACACAAGAAATAAGTTTTGACAAGGACGTAGAGAAAAGAGAACCTATGTTTAGTGTTGGTAGGAATGTAAACTGGTATGGGCCACTATGAAAAATATAAAGGTTCCTCAAAAACTTAAATATTAGGGCCTCCCTGGTGGCGCAGGCGGTTGAACGTCTCACTGTGAAGCTGTCTGCAGCCTCTGCAGTGGGGGTTCGATCCAGGCCGGCCAGCGAGACTCCCACATGGTGAAGCAGACCTCTCCTGTCTTGCCTGCTGCTCCCCTCAGCAGTGTATTTCGTCAGTCTGCCTGTTCTGTTCCCCACTCTGTCTCTGGTGAATCTTTTCACCCTCCCATGCACCTGGCCTGTTCCCCGGTTCTTGTATATAAATAAATAAATATTTTTTAAAAAGCTTAAATATTAACTACCATATGACACAGCAATTCCATTTCTGGGCATTTATTTGAAAACAGAAACACCAACTCAAAAAGATATGTATATTCCTATGTTCACTGAAGCATTATTCTCAATAGCCAAAGCATGGAAACAAACTGTCATTTGCTAGATGCATTGATAAATAAAACACAGTATCTACAGCCACTGGAATACTGTTCAGACATTTGAAAAAAAGGAAACCTATGCCAAGTTGAGTCAGAGAAAGACTAGAAATTAAGTATCATCACTACAGCATGAGTTCAATCCCTGGCCAGGGAGCTAACCCACATATGGCGCAGCAGACCTCTCCTGTCTTGCCTGCTGCTCCCCTTAGCACTGTATTTCAGTACACCCACCTGTTCTGCTCTCCACTCTGTTGCTGGTGTATTCTCTCCCCCCCTTTTCCCTATACCCCTCCACCTCTGGCCTACACCCCAGTTCTTCTATGCATAAATAAATAAATCAATCTTAAAAAAAAAACCTGATCTGGCTAGTACCTGACCTAAGTCTTCCAAGGGCCTGAACTGTGAGAAACAAGCTTCTGTTGTATATTTTATGTACACATACATATGTATATTTGCTATACATATGTACATATTTATTTTTATATGTGATACAGAATGTAGGAAAAACAGAATATGAAAATAAGGAAATAAAAGACAAAACAAAAATCTCACCAAACCCAAGTTACAATAAAACTAAGACAAAACTGGTGTAATTGTTTAAGGGGGAGAAAGTTCAAATATTGGTATTAGGAATGAGAAAGGTATAGATTAGGATGACTGTTTAACAATTTTATTCTAATAAACTCAAAACTTAGACAAAGGGAAAACTGCCAGAAAAGCATAAGTTACCAAAAATCACTCAAAAATTTAGAAAACCAAAGTAAGATTATAAACAATCAAGAAATTATATCAGTGGTTAAAAATCTACCCACAAAAAAAATCCAACCAGGTCAAGATGCTTTTACTAGAAAATTATACAAACTCAAGGAACTGAATATATCCATTTTATACAAAATATTCCTGATTATATACAAGGAAGGAATACCATCTGACCCAATCTATAAGCTATTATTTTGATATTGAACCTGAGTATAAGAAAAAATTACAGACCAATCTCATTCCTCACTCAGATGCAAAATTCCTAGATCAAATCTCCAAGTTAGTTTTATGCAAGAAATGCAAGGGCGAACTACCATGGGAAATTGATGAAAGTAATTAAACATTAGCCAATTAAATGGGGGGGAAAGGATGATAATATCAGTAGATATTCCATCATTTAAAAGAAAGAAAATGGAAGGGAAATGAAGGAGGAAGA